TGTGTGTGTGTGTGTGTTATATATATATATATATATATATATATATATATATATATATATACACATACAAGTAAAATATTTAATAATAAATATTGGTAAAAGAATAATAAAATACTTTACATGAACGACAAAAATTTATAAATATTTATATAAACACTATTTTATTATAACATATTATACAGATAGTAACGAATTATGAAGATGAATACCGAAATATGCACTTTTATTTACGTCATATATTTAATATGTAAAAATTAATTTCTACTATACATTTCAGTAGAAGTCTCTTCCTCGTGACTTGTCTCTGATAAAACTGACCATGTTGTAGTGTTCAATTTCTTAGCGCGATTTTCCAACAAACCATAAGCAAATTGATTCAAAAGAATTCCTTTAGGCAGTGCTATACCTTGAAATCTATATAATTTTTCTTTGTCCGGAATTTTATGAACAGCGGTAATCGTACAGCGTCCTACTAATGAAGTATTTCCTACCATAGGTCCTTTACTAATATCTATATGATTTCCAATTCTATATAAAGTAATTTTATTGTTGTTCGATTTTACAATTTCTGGTATTTGCGTTAATTTTATAGGATTATCCTGGAATATATCAAGTGCTATGCTTTCTGTAGTATCTATCCTCTCTATAGGTAATTCCTGATTTATTAATTTCATATACTGAGCAGATAATGCACGCATTTCTTGATCTGTAGGCTTCCAATCAACTAAATCAAGATATACATCATATATGAAACTGCCTGATTTTATGACTGGTATTGGGAAACTATGTAAATGAATTCTTATATCTGGTTTAAATGCCATATCTATAACAGCACCCAAAATAAAGGAACAAGTTCGCCAAAATGCTGCATTCACTATTTTGTTTTCTGGACTAAGCAAATTTAATAATTTTAAATTACAATCTGATGTTAAAGGTTTGTTCATATCCCATGGTGATCCATCAACTAAAGCAAGAGCAGATACTTTAGATAAACCTTCAGAGATATGTCTTGCACAATCTGTAGGAGTTGATATACATTTATTCATTATAAGAGTTATTTCTTCCACAGGAGATTGATATTTGACTTCTATTTTTTCAATTCTCCCTATTGAAATCTTTTGTTTTTTCTTCTCTTTTTCAAATAATAAATTTTGCTTTTCCTTCGTTTCAATTTTTGATAATAAAGTTTTATATCTTGATTGTATATTTGATGATAAACATAAATTTTTACAGCTGAAATATATATAAAATTTATAAATTAATATAGCTAAAAAATTTAAATCATTAATTCTTAAAATCCAATATTTCTTAATATCAATAATACCGGTTAAAATAGGTTATGGACATACCGTTGAAACATGTTGAAATATATGTACGATAAAAATTTCTTACAGTTAATTTATGTTTTGTAAAATAAAATCATATGTATTTTTAATAATTTAATTTTATTTTGTTTCTTTCACTTAATGAAATAAAATTTATTTAAAAACTCGACCAACCATTCATGACTGAAAATCTAAAAATAATAAATCATATATTATAATTTAAATATTCTATGAATTTATTTGTTAAAATAATTTTATCATTAAATTTTCACACACAAAAAATTATTATAACCGAAATTTCATAATTTTCAGCATAAATTATCTAAATATAATTGTTAATATAATACATGATTTTCTGTTATATTTTTATGAATTATTTTTATATTTAAAAATAATTAGTAAACATAAAATTTTAATAATTGCTTATTAAATAAAATATAAAGTAATTTAAAATCCATAATAAATACTTTAAATTAATAATAATCAACTTTTTTATTAACAAAATTTATAAAAACCTTGCACAACTTAAAAGGCGGATATACATGTGAATAATATTCAGTTTTTATGTATATAATTTATATGAAAGAAATTTTACTTTACTCGATTTATCAAACTATCTTTTTTATTCTATATTTCTATTGCTTAAAAACCACTGCATCAAAATAAGAACAATAATCTTTATATAACAGTTAAATTGATTTAATTGATTGTTGTTTGTCATTATTTATTCTACATACGGAATTATTTAGGTGTATTTGCACGATGTTGATGTTTTGTCCAACATGTGGTAATGTGCTCCGAGTGGAAGAAGCTTTGGCAGGATTACGTTTCGCATGTAGCACATGTCCTTACGTATTTAATATTGAAAGAAAATTAAGCAGTCGTACATATCCAAAATTAAAAGAAGTTGATGATGTACTAGGTGGAAGCGAGGCTTGGGACAACGTTGATTCTACAGACGAACGATGTCCAAAATGTTCTCATCCACGAGCATATTTCATGCAGATTCAAACTAGATCCGCTGATGAGCCTATGACAACGTTTTATAGATGTTGCAATCCTCAATGTGCTCACAATTGGCGCGATTAAAGGTAATTTAATAATATTAATAATAATATAATATAATTTATAATATGTAATAAGTATATAAACAATAACTTTATTAATCAATTGAAATTTTAATTTTTATATTTGCTAATAATTATTTGTATATCATTATATATTAAATATTTGAATAAATTATATCAATGAATTGCATCATGATATAATTTATTACTAACAAAGTAAATTTTATCAATATCTTTTCATGATTTTCAATAATATATTTTTTTTGGAAAGATTTTAAATCATTTATTGCAAATATAATAATTATGTTTTCATTATTTAAAATTAACAAATTTTTTATTTTGAAAATACAGTTTTATTTTTTACTTGGTGGAAAAAGAACAATTATGAGTATAAATAAATTGGGTCCAATGACTAATTTCTTGAATGCAGCTGCAAATGAAATAGAAGTATCAAAAAATTTTAATAATCATCACTGGATATGTAAAGGAAAACGAAGTTTAGCGGTAGCTGTCACATTGTTGCAACAAAATGAAATTATAGCAATCCCAACAGATACAATATATGGTCTTGCTGGTATTGTATCAAGTACTAGCTCTATTGAAAAAATCTATGAAATTAAAAAACGTGATAAAGATAAACCATTATCTATTTCTATTAGCAATGTAAATGATATAAAAAAATGGGCTATTGTTGATCATTTACCACAAAATTTGTTACCATTAATAATACCTGGACCAATTACAATTATTCTAAAACGAACACCAGCTTTAAATCCTGCTTTAAACCCTAATCATGATACAGTAGGTATTAGGATTCCATGTTTCAAATTTTTACAATATATTTCTGACATAGTGGGACCTTTAGCTTTAACAAGTGCTAATTTAAGCAATGAAGCAAGTTGCTTATATGCTTCAGAATTTCAAAATTTGTGGCCTATGTTAGGTGGAATATTTTATGATTCCACAAAATTTGGCAAATCATCCACAAAATTAAGAAAAGGATCAACAATTGTTGATTTAAGCAAACCAGGATATTATGAAATTGTTCGTGCTGGAGTTTATGTAAATGGCATTTGTTCAATGTTAAAAAAATTCGGACTACAAAAATGTTCCAATTAAATGCATCATTATGATCTTAATACATTTTGATTCTTATTTTTAACATTTATAAACAATGTAATAGAAATAAATTTAAGTAAAAGAATTAAACAATTCATATGATAATTTACAATTTATTCATTTTTGTAAATTTTAATTATATATGATGTTATGAATGTTGTATATATTATTAAAAATAATAATATATTAAGAATTTAAATTTTGTTATTTTTTTGTTGTTTAAAATACTAATAAAAGTAAATAGCAAATATTTTTTTACATCTGTATGTTGTAAAATTATTATTTTTTATTTACGAATCTACTTATGTGTACAAAGAATTCCCAATAGAGAATTCAAATCTTATAAACAAATTCACACATATGTGGTAATATACATATGTTAACAAGTATTAAACAATATTTTATATCCTGAGATACTATTCTGATTAAATTATGTTAATAATTCATTAATGAGTATATTTTTACTGTTTTCTTTTTCTTAACAACATCATATTATCTCTGACAAGATACATATCACATAGTATATTTGGGTAAGATATTTCATTGCTTATCAAATATTAAACGCAATTAAGAAACAAAAAGAAATTCGTTTTTTAAGCTAAATAAATAATTTTAAAGCACTAGATTTCAGTAATGAATTAACAAGAAATAAGTCAGTCAAGATGATAACATTTTAAAATTTAAATATTATCATATATGCAGTCTGTGTGCATTTTAAAATGCATATTATGTTTGTTATAAGTATATTTACATTTAAAACTTTTAACAAACTCATGATTTCTCATAAAAATTACTTGATCGATAAAATGCATTCAAACGCAATTATTAAATTAAGACTATTATACAACACAGTCCAATATAATTTTTTACATATATTATTTGATTGAACAATTAAATTAGGCACATTTGAGGGCCTATACATCCTTTTCTAAAGAATGAAAATTCATCATCGAAATTTCTAAAAATGTAGTCTAAATATTTATTTATATTTAATTAATGTATTTAATATTTATATTTAAACAACAATCACTATTTAAAAAAAGAAATTTTAACATTTGTTTTTCATTTATAATAATAATAGAATAAAAAATTCTATATTGAGAATTCTTTTATTTCCTAGACACTCCTACGTGTCTTTATCACAATATTGCGTTGTCTTTATTTTGAGTTTACATACTAAGTAAAGTTTCTTATACAAGATTGGTATGTATATTTTGAGTAAATAATTATTAAAATAGTGATTGTATAATAAATAATTAATTGTGATTAAATGATTGTTCACATACACACATATACACATACACGCACAATGCACTCGCAAAATATTATGTACGGTCTGTTCAGAGAATATGTTTATAAAATCAATAAAAAAACATTCATAAATGAAATTTTTCATAAAATGAAAAAAAAACTATAAATATTCTGAAAACTGAAATGAGCAAGTTAAGATATATGCAGGAAAATTCATATTACTATAAGATTTTAAATAATTGACAATAATTTTTGTCTAGAATGTTAAAGTTTAGTTATTCAAAATAATCAATAAAATTTCGTAATAATAAACTATTAGAAAGCAAATATATTCTAAATTATAAATTATTAAATTATAATATATATTTATAAAAGCTAATCAATAATTTTTATTACTTAGCATTTTATTACCTATAATTGAAAATTATATTCATTCATATATTATATGTGAATTTAAAAATTAGGCATAATGTCTACAATCGTAATAGACAAAAGCAATTAAATAATATTCATATAGACATAATTATACTACAAGCGAATTTATTAATTTATAACAAATTCGCATCTAGTGTAACCACAGTCTTAATAGATATTACTGATTGACACAATAATTTATGATTACATGATATCTCTGGACGGACTATACATATGATAATATATTTGATATATATAATTGAATTTCGTTTAAATAAATTTCTTGAATATATTTTATGAATATCAAGTGCTATCAAAATTAAAATATTTTATGAATGCGGAATTCTAAATAGTTTTAGATATATACATATTTTCTCTTTCGCATACATATATTGTTATACACATCTATATTATTAACATTATGCGAATACAAAAATTTACAATTTTAAGTTGCATTTTTTTTATTTAACGCAGAATATTAATTTTTATCTCTGCTTATAACGGAAGTCAGTCTAATCTTCTTTCATAGGACATATTCCTATAGAATTTTTCTTACCGTCACTCTTAAAGATTCCTATCAAGCTACTTCTTAATCTGGCATAAATTTCTTTGCGAACAGTTGCCGTAAATTTCGTTACTAGACAACTAATCGCTGCCGTAGCGAAGATTAAATTATAAAATAGTACTAATTTGAAATTACCAAGCCATTCAATGCGACCGAAATCGCCGAGCAAATCAAAATTCGTCATACCTAAAATAAATAATCCAAGAGTGCATTATTTATAAAATTATTATAAAATTAATGATAAGCTTATTTATTTGAATTCATTTCGAATTATTAAAAAATAAAATTACCTAATATTCTAGACAACAATGGTAACGCTGAACTCAATACAAGAAGAAGAGCACAATTTGCAATAAGGTGAATAAGAGGTGTGGAATGAAGTCGAGGTCGAACGCGTTTAACACCAGGAAGTGTGTACAAACCTATTGCGCTCGTAGCAGCTAGGTACAAAATTACTGCCACTTCAATTGCTGCTCCAATAGGACCTAATTTCGATAATGAGCTGATACCTAGAGTGAATTGCTAAGAATTTGTTAAACATATTATTGTTTGATTATGCAATTCAAAATAAAAATTTCATTCTTTTATTATGCGATTAATATATAGTTTGTATACTAACCCTTGTACTCAAAGGTAATGCTTTAATACCAATCAGCAATTCTAATGTATTTTGAACTGCTAATAAAGCTGTGGCAGTGGAAAGTATAAGTAATGCTAACATGGCCAAAGGATATAGCAAAGTTCGTCGAACCCACCACGTTCGCCTTTGCTGATCTAAAATATTCCTTCGTTTTTGAATATTTTTCAAATACTGAGCTAATCCATGCTGGAGAGCACCATTCTTTAAGCACATTAAGTTTGGATTTGCATTAAGAAATTCATCATCTTCGAATATTAAACCACAAGTTAATATCGACATAGGCACTGGCGAAACGTATGATTTCCCCGTCGCTTTCGCATGTTGCAATCTATACATGCAATAACGTTCTTATAAAGTAATGAGTTTAAAATTTAAAAATTGTGAAAATAATAAATGATTGAATACCTTCTATGAATGCAATCTTCCTCTAATCTATATGCAAAGAATTCTTCATCTAAATTCTTTAGGAACTGCGGTTTTACGAGAAATGAGCCAACTACTCCGAATAACTGTACAAATCCCATTGGTGTACACACTGCAAGAATAAATTATGATTTTATTATTATTTTAACGAAATATGGATAAATTTTTTTATATTTTTAATACTACTATAATAATTTTTCACGACTTAATTATTAAACTTACGCAATAACATAACAACCCCAACAAAAGAAACGCAAGAATAAAGAAAAGGCAAATAGTAACTCCATAAATCTAGAAAATACAGTTAATTATAATTTTTATACATTTATTTTTAAAAAATTATATATTCTTTATATACATACTGAGCAATGTGTGTAGGCTAGATTTCTGATAATCTATTAGTGCTGATAAAACATATGTCATTCCTAATACAAGTGTTCCCAATAAACAAAGAACTGTCACAGTTTCATAAACTCTAGCCATTAAACCCTGCAATTAAAAAATTAAGAATTAATTTTTTCTGAAAAATTTAATCTACAAATTTATTGATTTTACAATTTCATCAATTTTTTATTACTTTATTGATTTTACCTTTCTATATCCAATAAATCCTTCTGACTCGGTGAATAAGTATGCAAACGGTAAAAATACGAAGAGAGATAAATTTGAAAAGAGGAATACATGATTCCACAAACCTAATTATTAAAAAGTTGATGATAATTATATTTTTGCATATTTATAAATGATTTCTATTATAATATTTAAATTATTATATTATAATATTAAAAAAAATAAAGGAATTATCTCTTTTTTCAAAAATTATAATACAATAATGAATAAATTTTTTTACAAATGACTCATGCGTTTATACCTTGTATAAGTGAGCTATTGAGCCACTTAACATAATAACTGTTCGGATATAATATCAACACTTCGTTGCTCGCAATCGAAACCGGAAGCAGCAAGGTTGCTCCGACAGAAACCGCCAGAGCAACGGTACATAACCAAAGACTGATTCTGTAGACCGTTGCTTCATCTTCATCCACGGAAAAATAATCTTCACGGTCTCTTCGTCGAAACTTCGCAATTAAGGCGTAGCTTGAAACATAGAGAATCAGGAACAGAAGAAAGAATATCTGTAACGATCATAAAATATATTTCTTTATATTTTTATGCTTTCATAAGAATTAATGGTAATTCTTCAATTTAATTATTTTTTCCGATATTTTTTTAATAATTTGATTTTATCACTAAAAGACAAAATAAATGTCTAGAATGTTAATTTAAATTTGATGCATATTTTGATTACATATTGCATTTAAGCACAAGTGGAATAACGACATAAATCAATTTTTTAGTACCGAATCGCTTTGGTAACGACCATGGAAATAGCAATACGTTTTATTAAGAACTACAATCGATTGCATGATGATTTGATTTGTATAATAGAAATGTTTGTGAAAAACTTAATAATGTTATTCACATTGAATAAACTATTTTTGAATTATTTTTGAATTTTATACAACATTCAATTATTTCATTATTATCATGTATATTTATATTTTTTTTATTTTCTACATTTAAAAAAAAAAGAAAAAAATGAATGAAAAAATGGAAAAAAATAAGATTATAATAAAATTCTAAATTATATTTCAATCATTTAAAATCACTTTTTCTGCAATAGATTGCAAAATCTTTATAATGTTTATGATAGGAAATATTCTATATTTTATTTTAAATTACAATACTTTACAATAGCAATCACTATATGCATGCTATAAATGCATATACCTGTGCTAAAAAGAAGAGAAAAAAGAGAAAAAAAGTGAAAACAAATTGATATATAATTGCAAGTGCGTAAACAATAAGAAAACGAATGACCTTCAACAAGATTATAAAATTATATTTGCGATATTACTTTGGACATATGCGTCTATTTACAGTTGTATATTGAGATAATATACTATTACTAATAATTTTATTTTTATTAAAAACAATATTTACTAAATGAAATTATGCTAATAGTACAATAATACTCAATGCAAAATTTGATAAAATATTTTAAATGTTCTAAATGTATGTAGAAAAGGCATCAAAATCACTCGTAAAAATTGTGAAGTTAAAAATGAATATCGGGAATCGAAGATTAGTTGCAGCTTTACAAGTGTAACGTGTATACAATACGTTAAATAAGTTTAATGACGTCAATAGTTAGGTTAAATTTTACTATCAAGAAAAAGATACTTTAATCTTTATAATTATGTAAGACATATACAATATATTTATAAATTATAAATTATATTTAAATCATATATTTATAAATTATAATTGGAATTTTGAAAGAAAAATCTATAGATCAATAAAACTATTAATTAGGAATTGAATTTGACATTTTTTGTTAAACTATTTTATCTATATATTCTTATAAATATTAAATATCTAAATATAACCAAGAATTAACAATTCTCGTTCTAAGTTTAAATATTTACAACAAATCATTACAATTGTAATAATTTTATTGCAGATATACTTTAAAAGTAGAAATCGGTCATTTCAAAAATTGTGAACAGCCATTAACTTAAACAATATATACTTTCGGTACAATAAATTTCCGTATGTCTCATTTGATTATTGAATACACAAGTATCAAATTTCCATTCGTTTCTTTTTCCCTGATATATCATATAATAGTGTTCCTTTTAAATGATCAAAACATTGTAGAAATATATCAGGCTATTGTAGAAGTGATATCGAACCAATAGAGTTCTTACTTATTAATATCAATTTAATATCAATATCTTATCAGTTATTGATTTCATTAAAAATACTAAAACTAAATTTTATTCGTATATGAAATTTAATTCTTCTAATAATAATAGTACAAATGATATTATTAATAATAATTAATAAATAGTTATAATAAATAATATATTATATATTTATTATATGAATGTATAAGAAATGAGTTTATTATTAATTCAAATTTATTTAATAATATTTAATAACATTATAATTATATTAACTTAACAAATATTATTGACAATGTTATTCAATAAAAAAAATTATTTTTAAACACAAATTACAATAAATTCTAATTCTGTACACATTGTTTTTTGTCGAAATTTTCAATTAATAAAAATATAATTAGAAGTTTGTATCTTTTAACTGTAGTAATTGTTTTATATTATAGATTTTCGCTAAAATTATTATTGATTAAAATTAATTATTCATTTAATTATTGTTATATTTTAATAATCATATATTAAAATGATCGTAATCTTGACGATTATGTTAAAAGAGAGTAGATGAAAAAAGGATAACTAATATCTAAGATATATTAATTCTTTCTAAAAATAAATACATTTTTTCATTTGAATTTTTATATGCTTTTATATTAAAATTTATTTTAATCTTTTGTTTTCACACACACACATATATATATACACATCTGTTAGCATATCTATGATAAATAAGATTGAAGAAAGTTATTTTAAAATAATTATTATTCATCAGAAATTAAACATAATTTCATATTTTTAAATAAAATTTATTTACTAGATAAAAAGTAAACAATGACAATCTCCTGCACAAATTTCACAGTTAGAATACTTAATGTTTAATAAATGATGAATATTAAAGAACGAAACAAAAAAGGAAGAAAAAAAAAGAATAAAATAATAATATTTAATATAATAAAGTAAAATAAAACGAATATGCTATCATCTTACTAATTACTAATTATCTTATAACACTAATTTTGATTAAAATTATATCTAATGATTCTTTAGTTGGCAAAGTTTATTTGAATGCTGAGAATAGTAATAGTTCAGATATATAATTTTATTTGTATGCTTGATAACTGTAATTTTAGTTTATATTATTGGTTATTATTTAGTAATAACCATAATCTTTTAAGTAAAAAATTTTACAATATAACATTAATAATAAAGAATATTAATACATAATGTAATTTTTAATGTTGCGAAATGTCCCGCCAGACATTTTAATTTTTAATTTTAATGAAATTAAAATATAGTTATATTAAACAAATAGAATAATATAATTAAACGAATGAAAAAATAAAATTATAGCGTTTTAAAATGGCAACACACGTGTCTTTGACCGAACATATTTTTAACTTTTCTAGACAGAGAAGTTTGTCGCTGGCTTTTTAATGTATAAAGTATTTTTATGAAATTTGAAATTAATATTAAGGTAAATCTCTTTGTGAAAATTTGCCAATCAAAAAGAGAAGAAATAGCATTCAATCATGATAATGATTTCTTTCAAAAATGTCCTGAATATATATACACTGCTCATAATGATAATATAACAATAAAAAGTATCGATTATTTCGATTAAGAAAATGCAATTTTATTCAAAAAAGTAAATATGATTGTTGTGTGTGAAGACATGATTGAAGAAGCTGTACAATCAGAAACCGCTTTTTGCAACCAGTCAAGATGGGAGGAAAAACCGGTCAGAGTAAAAAATAATATGTGGTCAACGACTTTGGAAAGTGTTGAGAAAATATATTGCAAAAACTGTTTCTAATAATTCTATTCTTTCGAATTTCGAATGATAATTATTCTATTAATTATTCAATTATGTTTTATTAAACAAAGATTAAATTAAGAATTATTATACTATAATATTTAAAAGAAGATAAAATCCTTTGTAAATATATATATAATTTTTTAATAATATTAATTAATTTTATTAATTAAGTAATTAGAGTGATTTACATATTTATTTCATTAATAAATTTACGTAAATCTGTTCTTTATTATATTCATATATTAATAATTCTGTTTGCCAATGTAAAATTGGCAATAACATATGTATGTAATTAATGGTATTTTCTTTTTTACAAAGTTAATAAAAAATTAATTTCATAAAATAAATATAAACATAATATGAAATTATATTCTATATTGTAATATTAATTATATTTTATTCATTAAATTTTTTATATTAAAAATATATGGTAATATAAAATATAAAAATAAAATTTTATTTAGTTGAATAAAGGTTCATAATAAGGTTCAAGTAGATAAAAGGTTAAGTGTTAGAATTATATTATTTCTAATTTTCAATGTCAAGAACATGTTCGTGATTTTAAAAGATTGATCGTAAAAATATTGAATTTAATTGCAAAGAAATGCAAGGAAAACGTGGCGATTGCCTATAGCAGGAACGTCGCAAGAAATTTCAAGAACCCTCTATATAAACTAATGAATAATAAAAAAAGTTTACTATGATTAAAAATATTTTATTTTTTACTCACAATATTCTCCCGTACTGTGTTGTGAAATAATTGTTCTCTAAGATCAGCTTCATCTTCCATCTTCACCTATTTGTCAATAAATTTCTTTGGATTGAATGTATTGTTGACGGCATCAGTGACATTTTTTTATATCAATAATCTTTTTACACAACATGCCCAGATTTTCACGACTGATGTCCGATGTCTCACTTTGAGGCAAGAGCTTCTGCTTTTCGTAACTAAGAACAAGAAGCTACTGTTGTCATTACTCTATAAAATAGATCACATTTCACCTCTTATTAGCTTTTATATTCATATAAAACTAAAAGATACAATCAACAATTTTTCACTATGGCTAGTAGCCTACTAAATATGGTGCATCGTTTCTGTTTTAATGACAACCCGCCATCTATATATGTTCGAGTTATTTCTTACGCACTCTGTGAGATGAAAACGAAACTTACATGATTTAATATTTCCCTCCACTTTTTATTCGTTAAGATTCAAATTTAACACGATGTGGATCTTCAGTTTTTTTTATTCAGTTTATTTCAAAAATAATTTATTTATAATCTTTTTAATTTATGTGTATGGAATTTTACATTCGTTTATTTTTAGATTATGAGATTAGGTAAGTGATTTATTTATTTCGAATTATTTTTAATTTGAAGAAATTTCTTCAAATGGTTTTTTAGCAATAATTTTAAGAGGTGGTCATTTTAAACATCTATAATCTTTCAATATTCGAAGATGAAAAAATTTCATTCGTAAAAAAATTATTATTAGAGAAATGTAAATAGCTGATTTATTTGAATTTTTTAAAACGATAACTTATATCTATTGTATAAATACAAACTTGCAAGTTTATTATGAATTTTCTTGAATGATAAAGAATTGCAAACTTTCTTTTACTTGAACCTAATCGATTCATAATAGATTATATTTAATGATATAATATGGTGAAATAGTAAACTATATTATTTATATAAAAACAAAAGTTGTGCTGGAATTACCTAAAAAATATTGTACATAGATATTACAAAAATTAAATTTCACTTTTTCTTTTTATCGAAACTCGTATATTTTTACAATGCATGCTTAATTGCGTAAAAATCGTAATAACAAAATAATTATAATATCCTAATGTTATGTGTATATATATACTATATGTATATATGTATATACATATATAAGTTTAATAGTTGTTATATAAGTATACATTTTTTTTTGTATTACATGCATATTTAAATCATAAATTAACTATTGCAATAGAGATCAAATTTTTTAAAATGGCATTTTGCAGTTTTTCATTGAGTAATACCTTTATTAATAAAAATGTGAAATTATTTAGTTATTAACAGTGATTCATTTTTTCTCCTGAGAGTAGTAATTTAAATCATATCAAACATATCATATAAAATTCACTATTAACAGTACTAAAGTGATCTGCCATTGAAAACAAAACTAATTGAAACTTTATTTTGCTTCATAATTAACTTTATGATTTATTTATTATTTATTTATATATAATATATATATATATATATAATATTTATTTTTATATAATATATATATATATATATATATTATATTTATGTTTATGTATATGGTATGGAACACATTTACTGCCAATAAGGTAATGAATTCCGTTTAGGCAAATTTAATCAAGTATCACAGACTCTTAATTTTACCAAAGAATATATTTAACATATTGTTTTTATTAATAAATTTCCGAAAATATTCTATTTTTCATGTAAAAATAATTAATATTGTGTAATACATAATTAAATATTGTTCATATAAAAATAAATAATTTCTTTTCTGTTGAAATAGATAATCCAATTTGCTCAAATTAAAATAAAATATGTAGAATTTCATTTTTATTTAAAATTCAAATAAACCTTCCAATAAAATAAACATAAAAATATACTTATTGGGGATAAAATGTGTTTGGGTATAATAATTTACAACTGTTTATATTGTGATGAAAGTTATTATATAAATTTTGGTATTTAGAAATATCGATCTTTAGACAAAATTAAAAATCTGTGTAAATTACATATCTAAACAATCCTCACAGTGCACTGCATACATCTTACATTAATAACAAAGTATTAATATTAAATAGCTAATCTTACAAGCCTCATTTAGGTAGAAAATTCTGCTTGAGACTTGAATTTAGGATTCTCAATAGCAGTCCACTCAAAAATGATTGATAATTATTGAATTAATTTAGTTACTACACAGCTACTTCTCCAAAATTCATATGACCTGTTTCCTTGGCATGTTGCCGAGCTTCCATATGACCATTTAATCTGATTTTACAATCATTACATATTAACATAAACTTTTGAATGTCTGTAAATTGACGACTAGATTTTACTTCTTTTGCAAGTTCAGCTGCTTCAAATAATATTTTCTCATCTTCAGTAGGAAAGATTGTTTGAATGCTACTACCCTGTAAGTGTGAATAGAAAAAAATGTAATAAAAGAAAAAATTATATTTTATATCATATTTTAAAAATATATAAAAAATTTTACTCACATCAAGTGGTTCTAAATACAAAGGATCATAATGAATACCATCAAATATTAGAAAAACTCTTTGAGGATAATGTTGATCTTCTCCAAATCTATTGATTATAGCATTAATACTATCAATTACTGCTATTTCTAATCCATAAAATTTAGATAATATTGACAATTCTATAGCTCCACCCCATGATTCTGGTTTCAAAATCCATTTACAATATTCAGGATTTGGTTGGCCCAAAAAAGCTTCTGAATACTCTTCAGGATCAGATGCTACTGCATTTGCTATAATCTCTCTCATAAAATTTGAACAGCTAGGATCCACTTTACCTGAAAATATACTTATAAATATATTGTAATTTTTATATGAATAAATTTATACAATTTATATTGTATACCATTGAGTACATAACCAACGCTGGTAAATAAGCAAGAATTATCTGCAGGTACGACCTTTTTCATTAATACACCAGGTGTATTCGTGAAATTTTTCTCGTCAACGATGTGTGTTCGTCCGATTTCTTCTGATTTCTGTTTCCCATTATAAAGTGGCGGTTTTTCTTCAACAATCAAGGTATCCCCTGAAATTATGCCGGACACTTCAAGCGAATTTGTTTCGTCATTCAGATTAATTGGCCTCGGTGGAAAACCACCAAGAACGTGAAGTGCCTCTGCTGGTATTCCTGTTATTTCAACAAGTTTTGATCGTAATTTGCCAAGTTTATCCTGCGGGAGTAATCCATTCACGACCTTTTGACCTGATTTCGTTTTAACTCTCAATACATATTCGGCCATCGTTTATCGCGAATCACCTAGCTAACTGCAAACAAGAATTTTGCTTGGAGATTGTACCAGTTGATCAGCTGTTGAAACAGCGCCACAAGATTTTCCTTGATTTCAAGGAAAATTATATCATTGGACGGAACACGGTGTTGATCATTTGCAATATACATATATGTCTACTTTTTTTTATCAATATCGACTATCTTTTGCGATTCATCGTTGCACTTAACACAACCAAATGCTGTAATTTTCACTACCGAACGTTATCGCTTGTTGGTTATAATGAGCACTTTTAGATATTTTCTTGCCGTTACGTTGCCATGTTTCATCTTTCTTTAACTTATAATCTAGACGTTTAGCAATACAGGATAGGTTATGTTATTGATGTGAACATTCATTTCTAGTGTTATAATTAAAATTACTATATTACTATATTAACTAATTAAATAATATAATTTAATAAATGTCCATAAATTATGGTATTAAATATATTATTTTAATTTGAATTTAAAATTCAATTTAAAAAATTTTTTTTATGGTTTTTTTCTTTAAAAATTTTTTATATTATTATACTACATGATAAATTTCATATTAAATTTATAGAAAAAAAATTATTAATAGCATTTTTCGTATAATATTGCGATTAATAACATTAATTCCGAAATTAATAACTTTAACCTCAAAATTAATTAAATATGTTCTAAAATGATGTTAGTAGGTTTAAGTTTAGGAATGCAGGTATTTTTAAATAAATATATTATAAAGATTAAATAGTATTTTTTGACATATATTTGTAAATAAAATATTTTATCAAACTTATTTTGGCGCGCAATTTAAAATTTAATCGCGTCTGTACATTATTTTATTTAATTTATGATCATATTATTTAATCTTCTTTAAAATAATATGTAAAACATTCGTAAAATAAATATTACATATTTACATGAATCTATGTGCTGTTAAAATAAAAATATACTTTTTTTGTTGAATATCTTTCATAATCTTATAAGAATCGAAACATTCGTTGAAATCGAAACATTTCCTTCGATCATTATTATCATAATAAATACATTGTTAGTTTTGGTAAAAATGTAATTCAAACGTTAAGACAATTTTTGTCAATGCGATTGATTGTTCTTCCACTTCTGGAAATATTTTTATCACTCGATTTTCTTCAGGAGACGAGTCGTATTTCAATTACTCGAGAGTTTCTTTTCCTGTTTTCGGCAACAAGAAAGACATAAATCCACATACTGAAAAAAAAATATTAACAAATCAATTGATATGTTTAATATTGATATAGAGAATATTTTAAAATAATAATTCTTTTTTTCATTAAAACTTTATTAATATCATAATATTAATGACGTTCGTTTATAATATATATATCAAAAGAAAAATAATAACAATGTGATCACCAGCTGCTATGCTGATTGTTAATAGTTTTTTTCTATTTGCAAGCAGATCTTATCATAAATCGTTTTTATTAATCAATTAATCAATTTTTTTTATAAATATTAATCAATTAATGAAAATTGATGACTGGTTAATTGCAAATTTTCGGTATCTAAATTTTGGATACTATATTATATAATGTATATAATATATATATTATACTATAGTACATATATATTTATAATATACAGTACTATATTTAATATACAAATATATATATATATACATATATAACATAAAATATATGCAGTTTAATATTTAGCATATAATTTAATTAATATAATTAATGTAATAGTTATCGTTAATATTTTAATATATTTTTTTTGAATAAGAATAACTTAAATATTTAAACGAATAACTTACCGAATAAAAATGCTGCGAATAAAATTATAGGAATCACACAGGCTAAATCAATTAGGTAGCCGAACACTAAATTACCGACTAATGCGCCTAATCGACCCATGGTGAGAGATAAAGCCGCAGCCATTACTCTAAAAATTAAATAATTTGTTTTCTGAAAGAAACATTGATAAAATAAAAAACTAAACTATTTCTTCAAATATAAATATATGTATATGATCTGCATACATACATGTATTATCGAAGAGGTTATGATTTTTTATAAAGAAATAAATTTAATATAAAGAATAAAATTTGTTTAAATAAAATTTCGTTATTTTATCATAATTCAATAAATATTTTAATTTTTTGAATTCTTTATAAATTTAAATTTATTTAGAATTTTTTATAAAATAAAATTTAGATGGAAGAAAAAATAATCGAAAAAAAATATCAAACAAAAATTTATAACGTTAAAAATTGCATGCGAAAATGTAAATTGATTGAGAAAAAATTGTAAATGAAATATCGTATACTTGATATATTTTTAAAATTTTATTCTTCATTTTCGATTTGTCTTTTTTATGGAGAATTTCAGTAATATATGAAACTACGCATGTATGTATACACTTTCCTTATGTAAATATACGATCGATATTAATTTCTATGATATTATCAAACAGAAATAATTTTTTCCACATACATTTTTTTAAATTATTGATTATATCTATCTTATCATAAAAGAAGCAATTTCTATGAAATAAATTTTTTTCATTTTACAATCTATTCGATGGTATAATATATTAATTATTGATATCTTATTTTATGCATCGCAACAAATTGACGTAACGATGCAATTAAATAAACTGTGAAATTATAAGATTAAAATTCGTGCAAATACATCGTTTACTGTTATACCATTGTTTTGTCCTCGGTTGTCATCAAGTAATTAGTCACAGAAATGGCTGTAAATCTTTTTGAAGGTGGTGTTTGTTTGTTTCCCTAATAAATAAATCAGACGATGTTCTGAATGATTTGCTTACCTGAGATTCGTCGGGAACATGTCGACGATTACGCAATAAACCAGTGAGATACCGAGAGACGTCAGAGCCTCGAACACGCAGGATAATATTAAATTTTGTGTCGAATTAACGACATAATAGAAGGCAATCGTAACCGCTCCGGAAACTAACAGTGACATAACTGAAATTTATATATATAGTTAATTTATATAAAATAGAATTTTAGTGTAACATTAATTTTGCAATGATTATTTTTTTATGATTTCTTAATTTTAATTTTTTTTTTTGTCTATCAAATAGCATATTAGGATTTTTTATGTTTTCATGTTTGATGTATCTTTTTATTTACATTTTGATAAAGATTCTGAAAAAATCCATTGATGTATTTTCAAATATTTATTTTTAGGTTATGTAATGTATGTAATGTTCAAAAGAAAGTCATTTTAAAATTGTACTCGATTATAAAAAGTTTAAAAAAGAAATGATTTATTATAATAATATTCACTGAACGTCCACATTATAATTTAAATTATATATTGTGTCAATATATATTATGATATACATACTCAAAAAGAATTTAGCGCCAAGTTTGTGTACGAAAATCGGTAAAATGATGGAACCAGGAATACAGGCGAGTCCTATGTAAACCGTGTGAAGATAAACGGAAGGCGCTATTATGGTATCACATCCATAAGTGTCGATTTGAGTTCCATTATTGGACAGAGCAGATACTATGCAAACCGATGTGGTTTTATTGGGATTTTCGTGTTCAAATTGTTCGAATCTATAATTATCAAACAAAATTATTTATTATTTTTAATAATTTTATCTTATTTAAAGAGAAATTAATATTTGAATTGATATTGACGAAATTTTATTTTCAAAAGAAAATTCAAACTTCTCTTATCAAAATACAATCTACTTTTTTTAATGTATAATACTTTTTTTAAGTATTGTGAATTGTATCTTGAGAAATATTTATAGTACTTTTTATTTTCACTTTTCTTTTTTCTTGTTTTTTTTTTTTTTTTGTAGAAAAATACTGCAGATAAATATGATAATAATGAATAATTCTGAGAACCAAACCTAGTGAATAATTCTGGGAACCAAACCATAAGGGTATAGTAACTACTGGTGAGGCCAAACTGAATGCCACAAGCGAGTAGCGTATTTTTAAGATACGGTTTCTTACAGAGAGCAGTTGTTAGATCTTTTACTTCTTTCAAGAGAACCTTTAAATCCTTTCTTTTGTGTAGTTTTAACGATCTCATGCTCTTGTCTTTGTTTTTCTCTTGCAACGACTTTACCTGAAGAAAAAAATAAAAAAATAAAACGAATAATTGTGATTATTTTTTAAATTATATTAATATATATATTAAAATAATAGTGATATATTTCCAATCATATTTGTTAACATACACTTACTACTTTTATTACTAAAATTTATCAATAATAAGATTACATTTTTGTAAAATAATTATAAATTATCTTCATATAAAATAAATAAATATAATAAATAATTATATTAATCATATAATTTTTAAAAAATTAATAATAAGAAGTTACATGATCATTATTCTGAATCACTCATATATTCATTCCTATAGAATATTTTTGAAAAGTTGATTCTAAAGACTGAAACGAAAAATTGCAAAAATATCGATTAAGTGAATTACTTCAATAAATAAATCTCACAATCAACATTTTTGTATACCAACTTTTGTTATAGATCTCTAGACTCGATCCTCCAAAGTTGTTCCATGAATGTATCAATATTCTGAATATATATAGGATATGAATTTTAAATTACCGGATAAGAGTCAGGATCCTCCCCAGTGTTCTGCGAATAGATCCATTTAAATACTTCGAGTGCTGCGTCGGTTTCGCCACATTCGAGAAGAAATTTCGGGCTCTCCGGGAATGCGAACAGCCACAGGCCTAACATCAACGAGGGTAGAGCGCACAGCGCTACGAAGAGATTCCATGACTTAAAGTAAAACGTGTCCGTAAGGTACATGAAGTTCATCGGTATGATCAGCCATGCGATCACTGGATAAACGAGAAAAAATAAATAAATAAATAAATAAATAAGTAAATTGAATTTGAGAAAGCGTACATTTTAATCATGTTTTAAATCTGAATATTAATTTAATTTATGCGCGTTTATTTGAATATTGAAGTTGATAATATAAGAAATTAATTTAATTTTATTTCAGTATTATATTTTATATTTTTTTTATATATTTATTATTATTATTTTTTAATATCTCAAGAAAGGAAGTAGCAGTCTGATAATTTCAATGTCATGTTAATAGTATCTTGACAAATATCAAAGTATCAAGAGTTTAAAATTTCTCTTTTATCATTTTAGCATGAATGTGAAAATATAGTTGACTAAAAAGTAAATATTTTTAAATCGTAAAATAATAAAACTTACGTGGTAATAGTATGACACCTACTGTCCAGAACATTTCCATCCAACAAAGACATTTTTCACGATATTTTGTCGGCTGAAATTCCCCTAAATACGGAAAACAAATTCCCATAGCTCCCGTAACGCTGTATGTATAAAATAAAAATAGAAATAAAACGAAAAGAAAAATAAAAAAGATGTCTGAAGTAAAATAAAAAATGAAAATTATATGATATAGTTAATAACAAAGAAGAAGAAAATTCTTAATAATTCCTAGTAATAACCTAATCCGAAAATTCTAATTTTAATGAAAATTTATGCTTATGTATAACATAATGAGTTATATATAAAATAATTTTTTTTTTAAAGTTTTAATATTTTTTCATATTTCGAATAAAATTTATTGGAGAATATTTTTTTTTTAATAAAGTAATAAGCTTAAGCAACCAAAACTTTAAATTAAATTGGCTTGATCTCCATTCAATTATCCCTCGAAGTGACAATTCGTTAAAAAAAGAAATTGTATAATTGTTCCATATATATCCATTATGCTTTACATATTTATAAAATTTTATTAAAAAACAGAATTTTTAATAATTCTTAATGATAATAATACATAATTTGTAACTTTTATGAAAAGTTTTTATCACTGATTGTACAAATATAAAAAATAATAAAAAGAGATGGAAAATATTTAATCACAATACTTACGCGAACCCATTAAAGAAACGGAACACTAGAAAAATCCAAAAATATTGGACAAAAGAGGAAACGACACCTACAATGCCGTCCATTAATAAAGTGGCGATTAATACGATTTTTCTTCCTTTGATATCAGCCAGGCATCCCCATATATAGGAACCAACTACCATTCCTGTAAACGAATAAATAATTAAATAAATAACAATATAATAATGACAATATAAATTTTCAAACTTTCAGAAATTTTTAATGCGTTTAAAAAGTAGGATTTTTTTTTTTAATTCAATTTCATCCAAAATTGATTTTTCCAAAATTGTAAATTTTACTATTTTCACTTTTTTAAATATTCAATTTTTTTAGAGAAATTTTTTAAAGAAATTCAATGATTCATTAATAAAAGTTTCGTGTAACAGAGATATATGTATTTCTTCGTTAAATAATGTGTTTTCGATGTGCAAAGCACCAGCGATAAAGATTCAAGTAGAAAAGTGTGACATGAGTCAGACACTTTCATTCACGAAAAGATCTTTCCTTTTAATGACTCATCGTTGTTATATTAAACCTAATCGACAATTTTATTTTAAATAATAAAACATCTTTTTTTAAAAGAAGAATAAAAAATTAATTATTATTGATAAATATAAAAAATAAAATTAAAAAATTACTAAGGATTAATTAAAAAATATATATAGAAAAGAATCAAAAAACTGTCTAACTGTTAAAAGATTTTTTTTTAATTATTTAATATAATTATTTAAAATTTTAAATTAATCATTATATTTAAATTTCTAATTTTCTTGAAACATCAATCGATTAAAAGATCTTTAAAAAAATCGAAATTGGACATTTGAATTTTTCAGAAAAGTTAAAAAATTATTCCAAATAAAAAATAAAATTTTTAGAAAATTTTATTCCTTTTCAAATTTGATTATTTTAATTTTTTATAAATTATATTTAATATCTAGAAGTCAAATATCAAAAATAACTTGAATTGGTTGAAATTCGATAGTTAAGTGAAATAAGAAATAACAGTAAATCGTCAAGAGGAGGAAAACAAAGTTCTAATGTACGTGAATATTGACCCTGCAAATTTTCGAAGATCATTATCAGCAAAACATTTCACCAAATTTAAAATTTATGGCACTATTGAATCTCAGAAAATGATTCATGACTCTGAAACTATAATTACCGCTAATTAATTGGTCATTCGAAATTCAGGTAAGTAAAAATTCCGAAAAATAGATTAGCCTCCAAAATAGCAATATCATAATAGATCCTGTCATAAATCTGTCCCGACATTACTCTGATGGTACATATCCATCATTATTGTCATGGCGCCATTAATTTGTGCGCTTCGTGATTAATGTTTTTCATTAATAAACGTTAACAAAGCCGTGACAAGAGTTTTTATAAAGGAAAATGTTGTTTGAAATTAGTTGAAGAGACTCCAATAAATCGATATGTATATTCCCATATTCTTAAATATCCTGCATAATTTTCCATCCAACCAGAAATGAGCAAAATTTTAATAGTTAAAATTAAGAATAAAATTACTTCGATAAGTTGTTTCAATAATTTATCAATCAAAGCATCTGAATAACTGTAGATAACTGACAAACAGAGATTATAGAATATAGCAGATCAATTATAATAGTTATTCAAGTAATTTTTTTTTATTCGAAATTTTTAACTAGTTACCTTTTTTCAGATAAGTGATCCCAATTCAATAATTCTATTAAATACTCACCCAACATTGGCGATGCTGTTAACCACCCTTTCGCGGTGGAATCCATTTCCAAGTCGCATTGCGCTGCCGGTAACACGAAGGAGAGTATCGTGACCCCGATGGCTGTATCCATGTAAATTAATCCGCAGATCGTCAACAGCATATAATGAAATTTGCCGAATCCTTGACGTGAGAAAAATACGATTCGTTAAATATTTAACGCGATCTTTTCAAGAATCATTTCGAAGTAAATAAGAGAGAAAAGATTTATAAGTGCTAGTAATTAAGAAATTATTTGATATTTGATTCATGTTGTAAGCCTTCATCAAATCTTTCGAGAGTCAACAATTATTCGTTGCAAATTTTTCTTTTTTTTTTATTTCATCACAAACGAATTGCATTCATCGCGTAGAAAAGATAAAATCGTGTTATTTGCTCCCCCTGTCTCGACAAATTTACAATTTTTCTTCTCAACTTGAATAATTTTAAAATTATGTTTATACATCAGTCTGGATTGAAATAGTTGAATAGTTGAATAGTTTCTAAATTTAGACGGACGAGATTAGATTTTTTTGGCATTAGGTTCAATGATAACGCTTTTTAAAAGATTCCTATCCAATTTGATCAGTATATGATATAATTTTGAATTCGATAATTTTAATCCATTAAAGTATTTATTTTTCCAAGATTATTTTTCCAAGAATTTTATAAATTTTTCCATTTATTTAATTATGGAAGTATATTTTTTTAAGATGTACAAATGTAATTTTTGATTAATTTATGCTTTGAAATTTTCTTTCTTCTGATCTTCAAATCAGATGATATTGACATAAAATGCATTAATTTCTAATTTTTTTAATTGGCAGAAATATTTTATATATACTTTCGCTCCGATTAAAAATAGTAATTAATATTCATCGTAGTATAAGATATTTAGATCAGAATTAAATACGTAATCATGGAATGAGTCAGCATATCCGAGTAAAATATGCGAATTTTGTGCTCGATAAGAAAGCATTGTAAATAAAACACTGTTCTTGATCTTCAGTGTTTTATATCTATGATTCGTGTTTTATGATCTTATTATTCAAATATTCGTACAATTTCATACGATCGTGATTAAACTAATTTTAAAGAAGAAGAACTGTTGAAACTTGGTTGAAATTGATGTGCCCAGTAAAATTCCATTTGTCTGAACTTCATTTATTGGATTGGAAAAATATAGTTTGAATCATCCTTTAATATTCTAAATGATTATAATTAAAGTATAATCATCTTGATTGAACGAAAATATAGAAATAAATGTAATATATTCTTAATTAATTTGCACTAAATTAATTTCGAACCGAATTGAAATCAAGATAAAAATCTCTTCTCACAAATCGTACGATACGACGATATGATCAATCAGCATTCCGAAATAGAAAAATTGTCGAAGAAATCATGTAAAGAAGAATTATTTTTGTAAACGTGTGATCGATCAATTTTTTTTTCTTTTCTTTCTTTTTTTTATCCCGATAAAATTTTCAACAACTTTCTCGATAAATCTAATATCTCGTATCTTCTATTTAATCAGTTAAAGAAATTATAAATTTACCTGTTACGGTGATTGCATGCTCGAAATCGGCACCTCCGTCTGCCAAGAAGTCGAGCCCTGTCGAAGAGAATAAGATTTATTAGCATATCGAATATGGATTTTCATCTTTTCTTTTTTTTTTTCTATTTTTTAAAGGAGAGATAATATATTAATGTATTATTATTATCAATGAATAAATAGAATTTTTGACATTAAATAAATAATCGAATAATCGTGCGATATTTTTCTTATTATTAACATTATTAAATTTGCTAAATGATGAAGTAGTCATGTGAATTATTAGTGATGATACGATAATTATGAATCATTATGTAATGTGATTATTTGTTCATGGAATTTTTCGATTGAAATACATAAATTATGGAGAATTATTTGTTTTTTTTTTCTTTTTTTGATGAATTGTTAACGATTCCGATATATGGAATAATAAGATTTGTCAATATTAAAATTACGATTTATGATATATTTGTTTAATATGTATATTTATTTATTGATTTGTTATAATTGGAAAATTGTTTCAATGATGTGTTGTTAATATATTTATACAAATTGTAATTGTTATTACTATATATTATATTAAAATTTTTATTATTATATCGCATGTTCAATGATGAAAGGAAATGCTTGAAAAATTAAAATTTAAAAAATTATTTTACATAGTTTTCTTCATTGCAATGTTGAATTTATATGTTATATTGAACAAAACTGGAAAAACGATATTTTCTGCCAATGTTAATATTCATTTGTACTTTAACTTTTACTTATTGTTAGTATTTATTTGTGTAATGTTATCTATATTATTTGTAAGAAAGAAAAATGTTGTATGAATACACATTTAATCTAATTGGAAATTGTTAAATAAGAAATCCAGAAAAATAAAATAGGAAATTCTCTTGTTGTTTTATAACTCTGACTATTTTAAACGTTCCGACATAAAAATATCATAATTTTAAATCTATATAAAGTTCAAAAACTATTCGTCTTTTGATATCGTGTGCATATATGTATATATGTAAAGAATTGAATAATTTTATATTAATAACATAATCAAGATATTCATTAGTAATGATGATATCAATAACAAAACAGTGACAACAAAATAATATTAATAGTACTATCAATAATAAGAAAACAGTGTATTGTAAATACATATTAATGAATTAAAAAAATAATATAAATTACTATGTTAATATTATAATACTAATTATTATAATAGAATTTCTAGAAATATTGTATCAATAATTATCAATAATTATTAAAAAGAATAAAAAGTAATTTCTAAAAAATTTTTGTAGAGAAATCAATGGACATACGCAACACTGCAATTTAGAAAATAATAAATAAATTCAATCGATACATAAATTAAATAAAAGAATTATTAAATTCAATCGTTATAATTATCATTATGTGTATCGTAATGTGCAAGATGTTAACACGTTGTATCCAAAACGAATTCAAAACTCCGTACAAAAATATCGTTCAAACCTTGTTTATCAACTTACAAGCGATCCAAGTTCACACTAGATGAAGCGTAACAAAAATAAAGTACGGCACCGGAGACAGAATCTATCTGCATCTCGCTTCCTCCAACGCAAACTTCAATCGCCAATAACTTAAAAAACAAGCTTCATTTTTTCTATACTTTGCATTTCTCCAAAATTCGAATCCTCCGTTATATTAACATATATCATCATCATCATGACCAAATCCTATATTCAAGACGACCTCGAAAGCTCGAACCTACCCATGATTAACGATTACGTTGTGAAGATCTACGTCGGTCTCTCGAGAGGTGATGAAGTCAGGTGGTGTCGGTGGTGAGAATCCGGGAATCTGGAGGACCCCGGTCGCCAAAACGCAGCACTGTCTGTTCCTCGTGCGTGTTCCACGGTTTTGTCCTCGTCTGCAACCACCGTACGCTACGTTCATTGGTGAACACTCGGTGGTATTTGATCGCCGTCTTTATCGCCCGAGCGAATATCGACGATGATTTTCCACCGAGGGATCCTTGTTCCTTCGCGAAATCCTCCTCCTTCCTCTTCTTCTTCTTCTTCTTCTTCTTCTTCTTCACCCCCTGTTATTCGATCTCGAGACGATATCTCGTTCGATTACGTCGAGCTTAATCGATTTTGGATTCCTTGAATTCTGACTGGAGGGGTTTC